TGTAACTACTGCTGATTCATCCCACACCATCTAATAGCTCAGCACAGTTTCTGTACTGTCAGTCACATCAGCTAATCTCTCAGTCAACTTAGGGTGTGCAGGTTAAACCTCTGTTGCAAAGGTCCTCTCTTCTATGTCTCCAGAGAAAACAATCTCCAGGCTTCTGTTGAATGAGGGGGGTGTTACCCAGCACTTCAATAGCATTCACCCAAATTCCCCACCTCCCCCCAGCATTTCCACAGGTCCTCAGTGTTGTCAGTTCTTGGGCCTTTGGGAAATTCTGGTACAAGCCACGTTTATTATCTCAGCTTTCCTTACTTCTGGTTTAGCATTTGGCCTTCTCAAGTCTCTTTAGTTAGTTATTACTATCTATCTGATTTACTTTTCTGCTTCCAAAATTATATTCTGTTGTTCCTTCTGTTCTCCCTGTTCTTGTGGATTTATGTCTAAAAGTAGCAAAAAAACAAAAGCACATTTTTAACTTAGTGTTAGATTCTGAGTTTTGGGGAGGGAGTGAAATTGGATATATTTGTTGTAGGGCATTGCTTAAATGTAGATTATATGAAACCAAAGAAATAGCAGGCACTTACAATAGTATCACCAACTGGACGTTTACTGCTGCCATTTTGGAGCATGTCCTTTTAGTCTGTGTGTGTATGCAAGCTGTGTAGGTAGGTTGGATTATGCCCGCATATACTCTTTGTGGGCATCGTTCATTACCTCTGAGTGCTATTTTCACACAGACTATTATACATACATTCTCTGTTCATTGACATTTTCAACCTATTCTTATACCAATACGACACCAAGATAAGCACTTGTACAAAGAAGACTCATATGACAAGCACTCATTAAAAAAAATTGCTCTACCTGACTTTATTCAGAACTGCAGTGTTAATGTTATTCTGTGCCCTGGTGTTGATTTTTAAATCACCTGTATTTCATATGGCTTTATTTCATTCAGCCTGCAGATGGCAGAATTGTTTTATTTGAGCAGAAGTTTTAAGGTTCATTTTATTTAATGAATTCTTGCATTGGAAAGAGAGGTAATTAAATGAGCAGCGTCTCTGTCTATTAGAAAAGCAAATTAATGTAAGGAGCAGAGCTGCACTAAGAAAGTGCTGGTTAGTTTATTTCTTCATTTGGTCTATCTTCATTTTATGATTTTCGTGTTTGGATTATAGTTGTATAAATGGATTAGAGCGTGACACTCTATGGTACCATATGTAAATTGCTGAATTTCCTGAATTACTTTAGTCAGAGTAATGGAGCTTAGATCTGCTTTATATTAGCCACAAAGCTATTTGTTCTGCATTTGCATTTTAAGAGTTTGCTTATGTTAATCTTTTTTTTTTAATCTGGAGATCTTTTAAAATTGATGTACAGATTTGTTTAAAGCTTTGATAGGTTTTGCTGAATTATGAGTGTTTTACTCTTGGTAGAAAAAAATACTTTACAGAACAAGAAATTAGAATTAGATCAATGTACCATATTTGAAGTTGAAGACAGAATTATGCTGTAGAAAGATTTGGAAAGCAGATTTGAAGGAATGTAGGAATTGCTTGGAGAAACTGCTGTTAAGATTCAGTGATGAATAGATTGCCCACGTGCTTGACGTGGAAAGTAAGGCAGCGATATACTGAGCAAAACATTTTAACTTTCTGTATCATTGAGGCAAAAAAAAAAAAAGATATTAAGACAATTGTGATGGATTTGTGAGACTGTACTTTTAAAATCAGAATTTAAATATAAACTGGAAATGTACATTACTGTAGTTATTCTAAAAATTTTTAAATATGGTTTTTAACTGCTGTAGAAGGGCAGACTTTACAAACCATTAGATATACTTTGTTAGCTTAATGAAAAGGAATAGAATACAAAAAATGACTACAAAAGGGTTAAATTCTAACAAATTTTGGGTTTTTTCTGAGTATTAATAGAAATAACCTGTATGACCGGTGGAGCAAAAATACCACATTTCCTTTATTCTTACCGCAGTTGTGCCCAGTTAGTAGCAGGAAATATAATTGGTGCCCATTTCAGGGCCTCCTCAATTTGACAGGAGAAAGGTAGAATGTACTGCTTGCTGGAATGAAAAAGGAAGCTATATATAATTTGTAATGAAATTAAACAATATTAGGTATAGGTTAAAATTCCAAGGAGTTCAGAAAAGCCTGCACTGTCTCAATAGAATTGATGGCCGCTGTAAAGGCCAGATATTAGTTATAAGCAGCCCTGTCATTCAAAAGTGATATTATGATTGTATAATTACTTTCCCACGGGGAAAAATATATTTGGAAAAGATATGTATAATGTTCCAACTGAAAGAGGATATACTAGAATGAAATATGTATTATTATTAATAAATTAATGCATATATTTTGAAATGACTTTCGAGCATGAGATTCTGAGGCTAGATTAGGTTAGATTAATCAGAAAATGCTTTGCACATTTTATTCTCTATAATAAGCCAGTATAATCAATCAAGAGATAGTATTGAATAATGAAGATGTCCAAAATGTCTTTCTTTGGTTTTTGTCACTTTCATTTCAGAGAAAGGATAGTGATCTATTACAGAATTTTTATATTTTATTGTCATTCTTCAGAGAAGCAGTTTCAATTCATCCATGAAGGGTGGCTGTATGAGGAATGATTATGTTCTTTTTATTTTTAATATATGAAAAATTTTAAGGTTCTTGATGTGATAAATTATAAAATAATAAATGCAAAAGTTTTATTATAGTACTTAATGTCAGAAATAATGGAAATGTGAAGGTCTCATAGGTGAGAAATGGTAATAGGAGATACAATTAATATTTATTGTATGACTCTATCATGGCAACTAGAACCACAGTATAAAAATATTGAAGAGAGACTTTGTTTTGAGAGAATTGAGCTGGTGTTTGTCATAAATTGGGATCTGGATGGGGAATTGTTGAAGTTCATTTATTTTGCTTCTTTGTAGTAGAACTCTGTCTGATGTATAAATTTAATGTGTCTATGATTATGAAATGTTCCATCTCATAATGCCAGGCCTGAACTTTTTGATAGAAAGGGATTGTCAGCCTGTTTGATTGGACACATGAAGAATGCTCACATGGACTTAGTATGTCTAGTTTGATGTTTGAATTTCTGAGTAAATAGGCTGTGAATAACCAACAGTTGATTAATCGTTGGTCCATATTGGTAAGGATTATCAATGATGAGTGGTAGTACGGTGTAGGAGAATACAGTCTTGAGAGTTAGGCAGAGTTCAAATCCCTTAATTAATGGATTATAGTTTTCTCATTGATGAAATGGACGCGTTGACTTAGAGTTTAGTTTGGACTCTTTCATTGTTGGGTTACTAAGAGTAATAATTCTACTTCTTTATCCTTCTTATAGCTTGGTACCAATTGAGAAAGAGGCAAGAAAGTCAGACAGCTAGAAATCAGAGTAACAGTTTTAATGCTGATGGTTTTGTCAGATTGGAAAACGTGACTGAAATCTGTGGCCTTCTGCAGTTGGACTTCTCAGTACAACGCCATATTTAGACTTCGGGCTTTTGTTTGAGAGGGAGAGTTTGTGTCTACAAAGCAAACACGCGTCCTGTTTGCTTCCCAGTACCCATGAGGCCCTGCTGGCAGGAACAGAGGGAGGTGGGCTTGCTATCTGCCTTTGAAAGGCAGGTCCATTTATGCCCAGTGCATCGAAGAACCGAAAGGGAAATGCAGGTTCTCTATAGACAGGCAGGTCTTAAAATGAAGAGAAGGCTGAGGCAGGTGTGTGTGCTTGGGTCCTCTGCCAGTCAGTCCTCTAGAGGGAAGTGAAAGAAAAGTGGAGAGAGATAGAAATTTCCCTCCACGTGCTTCAGAGATGGAACTCCTTCACCATAAAGCCATAGGAACTCTCCATGTGAAATTACAGTAAAATTAATTCAGTTTCTCAAAGGAAACATTTAACTTCATGTAACATTAGTATTCAGTTCTCTTTTTTGAACCCTGAAACATCAATGGAAAAAAAAAAAGCCCCATTCTGCCCTTTTCCACATTTGAAATACATTAGATGTGGTATGTTGTTTTGCTTTTTTGGGTCAAAGAGTTGAATAATCTGAGGTGAGAATGGGTTTTGTTGAAGATTTCAGGGACTGTAATTTGTTACTATGGCTACCGCCAAGTGTTGGAACATGCTGTTAACTCTGTTATTAGTATAAATTTTATATAAATTGTAACTTAACAGCTATGTGCTCTTTGAGTATGGTCCTGGACAGTGGAACTATCATGAAGGCCATCTGGCCAAACATATAAAGTGTCTCCTTTTTTGGTATCTAAGGGAAAAGAAGCTATGCTTTATTGAGAGATCACCCTGGTTTGCAGCTATCTCTTTGGATCCCCAGTTAAATTGTGGTATGGAGCATAATCTGAGATTAATTTAATTACTTAGGTTCACTTGCCTGATCATCCTTGACGAGGCACACCTCTCCTTTCATATACCTGGCAGCAAGAACCTTTGATTTTTGAATCGTACAACATTACATGGAAGTAAAAACAACCAATTTCTTAAAGTTTAATTTTGATTATTCTGTTGTAAGTGTAACCATTGTTATTTTGTTGTAGGTTATCAGAATCCTCTTTTTTTTCTTATTTGTCTTTTCCTTAGGTCATTTTACTTGTAAATGTTTTTTGCAGTGACAAAGAGGGAAGGAGAAGATGAAATATAAATCAACTTTTCTTTTTTAAAATCTTGTAAGCACCTGGCTTGAAAATGTGCATAGAGAACTTGGGGAATTATAAAAAAAGGAGTTGAGTATTTCAGAAAGGAGTTTTATTTTTTTAAAGTTGAGAATTTTTTGTTTCCTTGCTGTTTACTGGACACTTAGTTTGACCATTTGGATGTCTTTCCGGCTATGGAATAGTTTCTTTCTCAAATTGAATTTGACATGAATTTACTTGAACTTCTTATTGTTGCCTCATGAGGTACATAATTTTTTGTGTTTAATCTTTCCTTTTTTTTAATTTCAGCTGGTCCTATTAAGATATTAATGCCATCACTGTCTCCTACAATGGAAGAAGGGAACATCGTGAAATGGCTGAAAAAGGAAGGTGAGCAGTTGCGTTATTAATACCTGTGTTATTTGCTCATTTTGGTTTTTTCTTAATCAGTTGATTTACACAATGCATGATATAAATGAAATAATTGGTTCTTTGCTCATTAATCTTAATTGTTTAAATAAATTTCTCATGGTAATGCAGCAAAGGTTTTCCAGGTTCAGCCTGTATCTTTTCAGAATCAGAGAATGGTAAACTATTTTAAGGCTTTTTTCCAAGTTTTCGTTCCTATACTTAGCTTTTAGTTTCAACATCATACATTCGTCAATTCCTGTAAGTTAATTTATAACTTTATAATGATTTTGTATGTGTGTTTTCTGTAGCTAGGCAAGCTGATTATTAGTTTTATTGGAAAGAACAAATAAGTAAGAACAATAAGGAAAACTCGCAAAAGAAGAGCAGTGGAGGAGGGTTGCAGCCCTACTAGATGCTGAAACATGTTATTCAGCCTCTGTAGCTAAAACTGTGGTGTTGACACTTAAAAAGACAGACTACTAGAACCAAATAGAAAATGAGGAGATAGACATAGTTGCACGTAAGTATTTATTGTCTCAATAATGAAGGAAGATGACATTGGATTTATTCTCTGTACTATGCCAATGATAAATTACAAATGAACCAGATATTTAATGTACAGAAATGAAACCATGTAAATACTAGGAAAAAAAAACTGGTGAATTCCTCTGACCCCAGAAGTGGAATAAATACTCTAACTGCAGCTTAAAAGCCAGGTGCAATAAGGGAAATATTGATAAATTTGATGATAAAAATAATAACTTTAGCTGAAAACACAATAAATAGAGTGAAAAACATGACAGATTGCAGAAGAGTATTTGCAGTTTTCAACACAAAAATAGTAAGAAAATTATCCAACTAAGTAGGAAAGTGGCCAAGATATAAGAATAGATGGTTTACAGAAAAGGAATTGCAAATTGCCTTTAAACATCTGAAAAGATTCTTCATCTTTACTAATAAGAGATACAGAAACTAATACTACACTGAGATATCACTTCTTACCATTCATACTGACAGAAATTTAAAAGTTTGACAAGCTATTCTGTAATGAGGTTGTGGGAGGAGTGGGGAGAAGTGGGCATTCTCGTACGTTGCTGGAAGAAATGCAAAGTGGTGTAGGCCCTACGGAAGAGAATTTGTCAATACCTAGAAAATTACATTTATATTTTCCCTTTGGCCAGACAGCTCTATTTCTAGGGATCCTATCTCAAGGCAAAAATAAGAAAAGACACATGCATGAGGCTATTTATTGCAGCAGTGTTTCTAATAGCAAAGGTGGAGACAATCCAGGTGTTGGTCAGATCCGAATGTGGTGGACAACTTCTACTCCATCCATAACTATAAGAAGGAATGAAGGGTATCTCTTTATACTACTGTAGAGTGATCTTCAGGGTCCAAAAGCAGGGTGGAGACTGTTAGATACAGTATGAACATGTCATTAATTAAAGAAAGGTATGGGAGTACTAATATTTGACACATTAAAAAGAAAGGATAAGACAAAAATTTAACAACAAAAATTGGTTACCCAAAGAGTGATGGAGGGAACAGTGTTGTGGGTGGAGAGAGGTGTAGAAGCTAGATGTCTCTGAATATATCTTGTTGTTTCTCTTTAACTTTGGAACCATATACATATTTTGCGTAATTTTAAAATTTGATTTTAAGAGATTCCTGAGAAATGAAACCAAATGAAACAGAAGAACGTAATTATATATCGAGTTGTTGATATGACCATACAGAGAGGGGCTATTTCAAATGTCAGTATACTTGATGATACATCCTTAATAGATTGTAACTGAAGGACAAAGACATCCCGAAAAATATCCTAAACTGTTTAGAGTAATCATATTATAGTGCTTATGTTGGTATTGCTATTCTAAGGTTTTTGTATATATTTTATGGAATAAAGCAAATGAGTGATTCAGATGGTATTATTGGTTAGCCAGCCTTTTGGTGTGGTGTAAAGGAAAAACATGAAAGATAGCTAAGATTAAGGCAGGATACTAGGATGGTAAATTTTCTGGCTTTTTTCCATGGCGGGGCCTGGGACAACCATAAACCCACTAGCAATGAGCAACCTTAACAATGAAATTATAGTCTCTAAATGTCAGCTCCCAATAAAGTAAACTAGCTCCTTGGAAAAGAGCTACTTCTAGTTCTGGGGCAGGAAATGTGCAAGATGCGCTTGGAACATCTTGTCAATTTAGAAAGCAAAGCAGTTATCAAAAACCCCTGAGGGTATCTCAAAAGACTCAGGAGCCAAAAATGGGACAATCTGAGGATCAGTGAGAATAATAACTGTTGTGTGAAACACATTAAATATATTTGAATTCAAAGCTCACAGTAATACTAAAGAAAAATACTAATAGTTGGTCTGCTTTGGAGGATGCTAGTAAATTAACTCATTTTGAAAACTGTAGTAAGTGGAAAGACTTGTATTTTTCCCTGCCTTTCCTATATGAACTGTAGCTCAGAGTAATCAAGTAGTTGGTGAGAAGTTTCTAATTATTGGCAGATCCCAACTCTTAAAAGATGGAGAAATAGTAGAATGTCACTGTATCATAATTTTGGACTCTAATGAATTAAGGAATGTAACCAGTGACCATCAGTGGTTAATAATATCACAAAAAGAGAGGAAACCAGATAGTACACCCCAGCAGCTGTGAGGTTGTCTTGCCAGAAAATTGAGCCGAACATGATCAAGCCTGTAGCTTTAACTACCATTTTCCAGGAAGTATAGGAGGAAGAGGGATGCATTCAGTCACACCATGAGTATATCAGCATAAACCAGACTGGGGAATTCTGCAGGTCAGTTTCTTAAATAAATTTCAAGGGGTGGGAAGATGGGGAAAGGAAGGAGGTAGGGGAACCTATAGCTTAAAGGAGACTTGAGACCAGTTCGAATGTATGAACCTTGTTTTGTTCATGATTCAAGTGAAAAAACATTTGGGGACTTTTGAAAATTATATATTTAATGAGATTAAGGGATTAATCATTTCAGAGGCTTAATCATACTGTGGTCATAATTTTAAAAATCTTATCTATAAGAGATATGAGTTGAAATACTTATGTATGAAACGATAGTATGTCTGGCACTAACTTCAAAGTAACACTGGTGGGAGAATAAGAGCATAACTGTTCATGAGTCAATTGACAATTGTGTAAGTTGGGTAAAGGTACATGTGGCTTCATTAACTCTGCTCACAACTTTTGTATATGTTTGAAATTTTTGTACTAATATATATTTTTTGAAATTGTACAATCAATAGCCTTTGGGCTATGACTTGGAGAGAGAAACTGTTTCCTCAGCTTTTTATAAGCTCCAGGTGAATTTGAATCTTGCTGTTACTAAGAGAATACTTGCTCAATATTACCTATAAAATTGTATTAATCTATTATTTATAGCAACCGTTTTGCCTGATTTTTTAAAATTTATTTTTTATTGAGGTAATATTGGTTTATAATACTGTGAATTTCATGTGTACAGCCTTATATTTTAACTTCTGTGTATACTACTCATGCTTACCACCAAAAACTTAATTTCCATCTGTCACCATACAATTGACCGTCTTTACCCATTTTGCCCTCCGCCATGCCCCTCTCTGGTAACCACTGCTCTATTCTCTGTATCTACATGTTTGTTTTTGTTTGGTGTGTTCATTTATTTTGGTTTTTTGTTTTGTTTGTTATAGTCTACATATGAGTGAAATCATACAGTATTTGTCTTTCTCTGTCTGACATTATTTCACTTAGCATAGTGCCCTCGAGTTCCATCCATGCTGTTGCAGATGGCAAAATTTCATTTTTTATGACTGAGTAGTATTCCATCGTAGCTCACATCTTCCTATCCATTCATCCATTGATGGGCAGTTAGATTGTTTCCATATCTTGGCTATTGTAAATAATTATTTTGCCATATTTTAAGTACTTAGTATGGTACTTAAAAAATAAGATTAAGAATATGAGGGCCAAAGAGATAAGGATACTACAGTACTCACGGTACAGAAGGACAGAGGAAAAATTAATGTGAAGAAAGTTAGAGAAGGAAACTTTTTACTTTTCTGGCAGCTACTTTCTTTTCCTCTTTTCTTCCTCTGGTCATTGCCACATGTATTGGTAGAGTAACTCTCCCATGTGGCTCCCCCACAAAGTGTTGACTGTGGGATGGCTTCTTTTAGCACTCTGTGTATCTATCTTATGCTTTACTCTGCAGTTTGTTAAACTTCTGTGGAGGAAAGAAGATGAATCTCCAGTCCCTGTTAGGGCTTGTTAGATGTAAGTAGAGAAATTGACCAGATGACTTCCCCATAGCCATTATTGTGCTTTAGCTTGAGGAATGGTAAACCAAGTGTTTAAAAAGGAAAGAGAGGAGGGAAAAGTGAGTTGAGAATAAAGGACCTGGCCTGGAAGGACTCAACTGATTCCAAAGACTAGCCCTGGCAAGGACATCTGGAGTGTCTGTATGTGATTCATTGGGCACAGATGTCATCTAGGCAGATGATGAGTGGGCCAATCTAGTGCTTATAAAATTGCATGTGGAGAGTTTGGGCGGTGGGCAGGAGTTCAGAGTCTGACAGAGTTATTCTGTTATTCCAGGAGATGGAGCCATTTGTGGCCATGAGGACAAGTGTGGGGATTGGGCAGAACCCTAGACAAATGTGCTTGGGAGTTCAGGAGAAGGCCCTGGTTCTTTGATGGGGACTAGGGCACCAGGAAAGGCAACAAGACAGATACAGGATGGGCCTAACAGCAGGAGCTTGGGACTACGGATTGGACCAATATATAGGGTGGAAGGTATGGCTCACTGAGGCCATCCAGATGACCGTGACTTGTCCTTAATGTGCTGGATACCACGTCTGATTGGAAGCATTACTTAATTCTGTTCCTTGGGAACGTGTTTGAGTTTTGATATGTTTCCTTTTCTGCTTATGACTAGCATAGTAGTTGGAAAAGACCGGGCAGCATTGTAAGTAGTTGATCAG